CTTTCACAATGCAGTAAGTATCTCTGTGTTCTAGAACTAAGCAAAAGAGTGTGTAAATGACAAATACATCACCTTTGAGAAATATATTGATATGAGATGATTTGATAAGTGATGGTTAATACTTGATACATGTTGGAAATAATTATTTAGTAGTATTGCTCGTTGTAAAAATGCCAAGTTACTGATGTGCATTAATCTCTTTCTTCCTCCTCTGTTCAGAGGTTAATGCAGCTGCCCCTTGGTGCCACAACTCATCACGAAGTCTCGAAGTTCATGGATGTTCTTGAAAAATTGTGATCTGGCCAAATTTTCAAGCGTATTTTTCAACTTGCCTTGATCCAACACATCTCTTCCTGGAGTCTTTTGTGTTCTGTTTTGGTTGTCATCTCTTCCCTCGCTTGAAATGAACACCTAAAAACTGACTTCAGACCAAGTGTGATAATAAAATCTCAGATCTAGATGGTGAACAGCATTTGTATCCTGGTAGGTGTGTTCTGGAAACTTCCTTTTTACAGGCACGTGTATTAAGCTGTCGTTCAGAGACAGGAGCTACACATCTTAAGAAAAGCTGATCTATAGAGAAATGCTCACCAGAGACAGCAATGGCAAGAGGAATGAGGGGAGAGAAACAAAGCAGAAAGCATCAAAAGTCCTTCGCTTATGAGTTGCACAGGTGTTTTCTGAGTGAAAAGCCAGCAGAACTGCTAAGAAAGCAGTTAGACAAGCTGCTTAAATTAGGAAAACTGCCTCTCCAAAGGTGTACAGCAGTGTAAATTAGGATGCTGTTTGCACTCCTTGTGTTTGTATAGTGTATAATTATAAAAATAAATCACTCCAGTTAGTACTGTTAGGCCTCAAGCTTTCTTACTCTAAGAAATCAGAATGAAGAAAGCAGTAGCTTGTTTTGTTTGTATATAAAAAAATATATTTTTTTTCAAGGCATTCCAATTGTAGGCTTTCTTAAACGTTTACAATGGGTGACTTAAACTGGTGCTGAAGGCTCTGTGTTATTTCAAATATTATAATAGTAAGAGCTGACTTTTTTGGGAATTGTGGAAGTAGAAATAGGGAAGTATTTCTTGCCCAGTTGTGCTCTTCTTTGCCCCAACATGATACGTGTGTGCTGTGGTTTGGAAGGCAGGGTAAGACTTTTGAACACGTTGATATATTCTGTCCAAACTCAGTTAAGTTATTGTCCAGCTTTTCTACAGAAAGTGTACATGCATCTAAAAGGAAAAAAGGTTTAATAAAACAAAGATTTAATAAAATGATGCCTGGTCTATGGTTTCGTTGTTGGGTTGGGTTTTCCATTGTGTATTGAGCTGCATGGGCTCCTTGGTGCCATCCTCCCGGGTGCCCAGCATGGAGCTGGGAGCAATTGAGGGCACTGTGCTCTGTTACCCTTTGGTTTGGATTCACCATCACGGGGAAATGCAAGAACTGCTTGTGTTGCAGTAAGTAAATAGCATGGCTATTCATTATTTATCTGCTGCTGAATTTTAATGAATTATAGCAGCAATGAGTGAAGCCCTTATAGTGAGGATTATACTATAGATACTGGTACGGTCTTTTATGTATGAGAAAATGATGTTTTCTAAAACTTAGCACTTGGCTTTGTGATACCTGTCCCTGCCTGTCCAACCCCATGCTTCATCAGCCACAGCAGAAAACATCGTGCTGGTGCCCTGGGACTACAGCCAGTGTAAAAACCCAAAGGTAAATTGAAGGCTGATCTTTTCTATTTTTTTTTTTTTTTCCTGCTTTGCTCCAAGTATAATGGAGAAGAACAGAACTCATTAAAAATTGAAGGACATAGTTTGAAGTAGAAAATGTGCATCTACAGCTGCCTGATCCAGATATCGTATTTAGCAAACAGAACTCTGTTTTTGCAAGTGTGTGCCAAACAGCAAACAGAACATCTGCAAGTGGGTGCATGTATTGACCAAAAAAAATTTAAGGTGAAAGTGGGATTCTAGAAGTGTGGAGTAGGAATGCTGTTGTCCAACCCAGGAAGGTAATGCGCGTGTGGACCAGGAGTGCCTGGCTGTGATGAGCAGGCTGAGTCGGATATGTGCATCATTGGGTGGTTTTGTGATGCCTAGCTGGTGAACTGAGTGGTTGTGGGATGAATGGGGACTTCTTGGGGTGATGTGTAAGGAGAAAGCCCACCTGTCGTGCGTCACGGAGCTCTTTCAACTCTGTTTAAGGTGCACAAGTGCTGCCTATCCCAACGTGGCTGAGATCGTCCTGGATCTGTATAGATACGAACTATGCCTCCATCCTTTCAAGTGCAGAATGAGGAGCTGCCCCTCAGCCACGCAGGAGGCACAGGTGGGTTTTTATAGGAAAGCTTCCCAGCACTGACACTGCCCTGTGGGCTGGGACAGAGCTGATATCGTTTCTGCCAAGGACGCTAATTAACCTGCTAAATGAGTTTGTCCCTTCAGAGTGTGTACTGGAGAACTGATTTATCTAAAATGCCATTCCACAGAGAGCTTTAATTAGCAGCTGTGCTTCCAGGGGCGGATGGGGGCTGCAGGTTGGTACTTTTGGGGTCTCTCACCATAAAATGCTATTCTTGGTGTGCTTCACTGTGCATCAACCAGCGCTGGCACTGCCCATAGGTGCCCCCAGAGCAGTGATAAGAGCAGGACGCAGCTCACTGCTGGGCCAGCCCCAAGGAGCAGCTCTCCCAGCTCCCCACCACACCAAAAATACCACGTTTTAATAACTGGACTGAGCAAAGCGCAACCTGGCTTGTTTCTGGCTGCCAGATTAACAGATGGCTACAATCATTAATATTGCAAAACTTTGGGAGTTCATAATTCTGTAATCTACAAAGCCAGGCGGGGTAACTAATGCGGCCCTGCAATCTGCTGTGCAGGTCCCCCCGTGGCCCCAGTGGGGGATTTGGTGCACGTGGCACTGCCCAAATTCTGCCACGAGCACCGAGGCTGCTTTGTCCGTAGAAGAAGGGCCTTGGGACACCATTGCCTTGGAGCTGGTGGCTGTGAAATTTGCTGTGCTGGGTTCTGGTGGCTGTGCCTGGCCCCGCTGCAGTCAGATTGCAGAAAATCCGCAGAAATCCAATCAGCCTTCTTCAGTGTGGTTTTATTGCTAAAGCCCAGCCTTTCCCATGATTGTTTGGAGGCAGTGCTGCGAGATTACCACTGATGTCAACAGCGAGATAAGCCGCGGGGCAGCGCGCAGTATCGCTGCCCTCGTTAATGGGTGGCCGATGGCCTAAAGGAGCATGTTCCCAAAAGAGACCAGCCCCACGGGGCCCTATGCAGCAGTGCCATTGCCTCCAAGTGAGGTACTGCCAGCTCAGCATCGCCCCATTGATCCCTGGCTGCATCCCAGCCCCGTGGCAGGCAGAGGGCGGCAGGAGCCCATTAGGCACACGGCAGCGCCATTGATTGGGGTGGAAGGCGGCCGCGGATATGGGATGGGTCAGTGTCTGCACAGACATAGGTTAGATATAGACATATAAATAGAGATGTCAGCAAAGAGTAAAGTCCTTGTAGTGAGGATTATGCTATAGCTAATGGTGTAATCTTTTATGGATGAGAAAATGCCTTTCTCTGAAGATTAGCTCTTGACTTTGCGGTAGCTGTGCCCAACCAAACCTGGTGAAAGCATCTCTAACATATCACATGTTCTATATGTTATGCTGTATTACTTATTTTATCAGCTATATTTTAAAGTGTAAAACATACATAAAATATATGGGCATTGCATTGTATTAGGGGTTTATTATCTTACTGTACTACAACTTAGCTTCGATGATTCTTATGTATCCCTTCTAACTTGTGATATTCCATGATGCAACATAGTTTACCTATGTTATTTTTGCATATGTAATGTTTTTATTTCACCTTTTCACCAAGCTCGCAGAGCAGCAGCGCTGCAGGGAGGATTCGCTCCCTGAGCTCCAACTCCCTGGGAACCCCTTGATGTGGCAACACCAGGTTTGGCTTTTTGGGGTAGAATGGGGCAAAGCCAGCACTGCTGGGGGAAGAAATAAGTGCTGTGATGTGAAGCTTAATGCTTGGAGCACCATATGGCGAAAAACCTGGTGCAACACGCTGCCCACACAGGGGCTGGGGCAGGGCTTGGCCCCTTCATCCTCACCAAATATTTGGTTTCCAACCACTCAACTTTCGAAGTTGTCTTTCTTCTGTAATAACCCCATCCCCCCCCCCTTTCCCCCCAAAGGCCCCCCCCCCCCCATCCGGAGACCGGAAGAGCGTCCACACACCCCCCCCCCCCCCAACCCCCACACCCACCCCAACC